TTTTTGGGAAAAAATTATCATTCATCATCAAAAAATCTGCATAGGCTATCAAATTTACTGAGCACTTTCCTCTCCCCTCTCTTACTTAGACGTCCCACCAACTCTGGGTAGTACATGAGGTAGGGATTTTTATCCACCTCACTAATGAAGAATCTGAGTTTCAGAGAAGGAGTATGATTTTCCCAAGCTAATTCACCTTGTCAATGGTCAAGGGGATTAAACCCAAAACTGCTTGTGCCAATCTTATGCCCTTTCCACATCTTCCATCATTCAGCCAATCAGTTGGTCAATATGCCATTCCATGGAAATGTTATTTGACTTTCTAGTGCTTTGGGATGGAAAACACAGTTCGGGTCCTCAGGGAGCTCTCACAGTCTCATTGGGGAAATGGATGAGTAAATCAACGATAACAATAAAGTCTTTAATTATCTAATAAATCATTTCAAGAAAGTCTTATTGTTTACCTCCAAAATTGGCCATAGATTATCTGCCATTCTAACAATCAGGATATGCAGGAAGGATATTCAAAGTAATAAACAAGTGGCATGTTCATTGACATAGGCACCAACCATAAATAGATGCTGGCTATAAACACATATGTTAATAAGCAGATAAAAAGGTACAATGCCTACTCTTAAAGTGTTCATGGTCTAATGGGGCAAGTATGAAATGTGCTAAAAATGAAAAATGGAAGTCTAGATGAGCATGGGGGGGGCCCCTCTCTCTGAATGTAAGGAGCATTTCTTAGGGGTATTATGAAGTAAAATAATATAAGAATTTGCCACATGGATAAAGCGGGAGGAGGGTTATTCCAGGGACAGAGAATTGAATGTGCAAAGGCTCAGCAGCCTTTAAATTATTTCTTCGAATTTTTTACTCAAAATTTTTAAGTTGCCAAAATCCTTAAGGATTGCTTATTTGGTAACGAGGACATTAAAAGCCAGAGAAGGGAAGGCATTTGCCCAAAGTCACACAGGAAGTTGATGCAACATCAGTATTTGAACCCACTCTGAACCAAAACTCTTTCCACTCTGCCATGCTGACCAGAAATCGACGTTTTGGTCGATTGTGCAGCTCATTTGCCCTATTCCATCAGTCAATGAAGCTCTCCTCTGTCTTGCCACTCATTCGAGGACCAATGATGTCTTTGAGCTGTTTTGTCCTTCGATATCTAAGGAAAAGTGAGAAGAACACTGAACAAAGGCTTGCAGACAGCAAGTTGGGGAATCTTGACTCTAAACAAATACATCTAATTAAAGGACTAGCTTATTGTGTTGGACTAGAGCTCCTTCATTGTTTTGGGAGAGATTTTTGGCAAATATAGAGTCACATGGGACTTCTGGATGGGAGTTAGCACACCAGATGAATTCGAAGAAGGAGGGAGGAGGTTGGGTGCAGCGAAGGAGTGGGTCAGCATGGGTGGGAATCAAGGGATCCCATGAGAAGTAGATGCCAGACTTCTCAAAGAAATGGACACTCAGCTGCCTCAGACAATGCCAGTCCTGGCCAATATTCCACTCACTGGCTGATCTATAGGGGAAAAAAACATATTACATTTAACAGACCTTCAAGGACATAAGAATGATCTCACCCAAGGTGATCCCCCATGCTCCCTCTGGCTTCCAAACCACAGTCTCCACCAGCAACCTGTGAATGAGGATCGCAAACAACCAACAACAAAATCAGCCTTTGGCTGAGAACTCCGTGCAGAGGTGGTGTTTACAAGCATCGGCTCTGCCTTCTCATGCAGAAAAAAGTGCTTATAGTACTGCGAAGGGCACGATCGTAAGAGATCAGATGCCAAGAGGTACGGCCTCTGCCAAACAGGAGGATGAACAGCTGTGAATTCCACAAACATCCTCTGCTGTAATGTCTAGCGTGGTTTACTTGCTCAGTTCTGACTGTGATGACCATCTGCATGGAGGGAAGCCATGGAGGCCTTGGTTAAGTCATTGCCCCTCTCTGGGCCCGCTTTCCTTATCTGTACAATGGATGTGTTAGACAATAATCTAGTTGCCCTTTTATATTCCGTGGGTGAAAAAGGAAGAATTTGATTATAACGTACAGCATGTCAAACATTCACTTGTTCCTCCGTTACTTCATTCATTCAATAAACATTTACAAAACTTCTACAATACCCAAGGCTCTATGCTAGGCACAGAAAAAGTAGGGTTAATCACTGTCCTCTGGAACCGAGAGTGTAGGAGAAAAACCTAGACATATATATACATCATTGTACTGTGTAGAGGCAATGAATTTCCTAACAGAGTTACAAAATGCTGTGGTGCGTGGAAGCATTTCTTATAGAAGAAATCTAGGGAGCTTCATGGGGAAATTAGACCAGAATTGATCTCACTGGATCCGAGGAGGTGGAGGTGAAGACCCTAGATAGAGCACAGCATCAGCAAATTGGAAAGCACACGGTGTGTGCAGATCCATTTGTCTGGAACGGAGGCTGAAGAAGGTCCAGGGACAGATAGAAACAAGCCCTTGTCTGGGCTCCCCTCAGTCAAAAGCCAAGGTGTGGCTTAAGATGCCACATCACATAGGTTTTGGAGAAAATTCATTTTATAAGAAGCTGCTTCTAAAGATTCATGAGTAAAACTCACTTCTCTATGCTGTTGGAATGTACTTCTATGATGGCTCACTGAACGCTTAGTAATATTCTTGTTTGATTGCTCCACTGGCCTGTTTCCTGCGTCAAGGACCAGTCTGGTCCTATTTGGTTTTGTTTCCCTGTGATTGGCTAAGCCACTTGTAGTAGGCCCTAATCAATGATCGTGGAATACTACGAGGTGGGAGGTTGGGTTTGGGACATTCTCAGAAGAAACTATATTTATCACTCAGTTTTCCAACATGCTCTCTTGTCTCATTTAAATACACACACAATTGCAAATATATATATAAATATATTTTAAGATTGTCACCTGAGCTAACAACTGTTGCCAATCTTTCTTCTTTTTTTTCTGCTTTTTTCTCCCAAAATCCCCCCAGTATATAGTTGTATATTTTAGTTATGGGTCCTTCTAGTTGTGGCATGTGGGACACTGCTTCAGCATGGCTTGACGAGCAGTGCCACGTCCACGCCCAGGATTCGAACTGGGAATACCCTGGGCCACCCCAGCAGAGTGCGCGAACATAACCACTCGGCCACGGGGCTGGTCCTGCAAATATATATTGATTATATATTATATGCAAGTGTAAGTCTATATGACATGTATTATATACTCTTCCAATATTCTATTCTGTAACCCAGGAGATAAACTCAGTAGTCTTCACAAAGCCAAGAGGCATGGAAGCATTTATTACTGATTGAAAGACACAACTAGTGCTACTGAAATATGCTTTGGCTAAAACACAGATTTAAAAACTTCCAAAACAACCAACATTTGAATCAGCCAAAACAGTTCAAAAGTTCAAATGAGCTGTTTTATGACATGACTATGTATGGGCTTTCTTGCTGTCTGGGAGGGTCACTTAAGCAGAGAATCCTAGAATATCAGAGCCAGAACACCCTAGAGATGACCTAATCTTGTCCCACTTTTTTCAGATGGGGAAACTGAGGCCCAGAGCAATAATAATAACGAGTGTGAGGATGATATTATTCAATATTGAAAATAGGTGGATAACGGAAACCTCCATTATTGGTAGTTTATTTAAAAAAATCAAGGATCTCAGAATTAGCTCTATGGAAAAAGGAATATATCTTCCATATTCAAATATGGCAATGGTTTTTATATAAGTGGCGTTATAATCTAATAGGGCATAAAACATGGTTTAAATATCATCTTACAATGGTCGTGGGCAGTAATGTGTAATAAGAAGAATTATGGAGCCCAGTGTAGTAACCTAAAAGCTTCCCAGGTGTATTCCCTTAGTGAAGCTACAATGCTTCTCTGACCCTCAGTCTCTTCATCTGTAAAAAGAGGGCAACACTCATGCCATCGCACACGGTGGTTGCAAGGATGTAATGAAATAGTGTCCATAAAGTACCGTGTACAGCTCCTCATATAGACTTGACAAAGGAAGGTCCAACCGTAGCTACAGATTGCATGAGACTCATTTCTGTCCACTATCACGAAACTGTACGCTGTGACAAGCTCAAGCGTGGGTGCGTGCCCCGGGCTCCTCCCCACTCCCTCAAATGCCTGTGTGTGCCTGTGGGTACTCATTGCATGCTAACCACCAAACAAATGGATGACTCAGAGCTTGGCAAGTATCCACAGCAGGCTGGAGAGCTAAGACACAGCTTATGTCTCAAAGATTAAGTTGTTACCTTTTTTTCTCTTGTGATGGACACCGTCCAGCACTGAGAAGAGACCTCAGAGACCTTTTCCCAGGAGATGCAGCTTCAAAGACGGGACCATGCGCTGGGCATGAACAATGTCAAAAAGCTGCTCCCCTACAGGGCACTGGAGCTGGGATAATGCCGCCTCCGGGCAGCTGGGCATGGCTGGCTCCCACAGAAGAGAGGCCGGACTGATCTGTGCTCCAGGCACAGTGCCCACCTGCTGAGAACTAATCCTGGGTTATCTCTCTGCTGGCCCTGGGAAACTCAAAACGCCCCAGGCTTTTGAAGGGCTTTATCTCCTCTTTCCAGGAACTCAGCTCAGCCTCTTTGCTTTCTCCAAGGTGCCACTGAGCAGCAGCTGCCCAGAGCACAGGCGAGCCCTGGTGGCATTTCCAGCCTGCCTGCCGGCGTAGCAGAGCCAGAATCAGAATCGTTCATCCTGCTCCCTCTTGCTCCCTGGGCTTCTGTCTCACAATTAGAAAATCCGTTTGGGGAGCGAAGCAAAAATCACACTTCACTAACAGCTGCTCTGTGTCGGGAGCAGGAGAGGAGGGAAGCGGGGATTCCTCCTTTCGCCATAAATTGTATGCAAATGGGCTCCTTTCTTGGCAGGGAGCAGGGAGTGAGTGCGTCTTTCATGAGCTAAGCCTGTTCCACTGGGAGGGCTGTTCCTTTAACTCACCAACTGAAAAAGTGGGAAAGGATGTCTGGAGGCGAGGCGTCCCATTACAGAGGAAGGAGCTCGCTATATAAGCCAGCCAAAGCTGGCTGCACTGGCCACAGCCTGCCTACTGTCACACGCTCTCCCGCGCGCAGACACACACCCGCCTCTCCTCCGCACAAAGACGGCGCGGGCGCGGGGTGACACTGGGGGGCAGCGCACGTGGGAGCCCCGCGGCTGCTCACATCCAGGTGCTTATTCCATGGAGCTGGTTCGCTCAAGGATCTAGGTGTTTCCCAGTTCCGGAAAGGTAAGTCCGTTTCACCGCCATCACCAAAGATCGTTATAATATACCGTTTGCATTCCTGTTACCAAATGGGTTGTGGTTTCATAATGATAAAACCTTTGCTTTATCTTCGCCGCTGGCAAAGTGGGGTATTTGTTATGATCAGATGCACCTTGCTGTTTCCTACTCTCCCCTCTTCCAGTCTTGTACATTTTTGTCTGTTTGTTTTAGTTCAATGAGTAGGCATACACGGAAAGAACTTTTTGTAAAGTTTTTATCTCTGCCGCTCTTCAGAGGAATAGCAAGGATTTTCTCTTAACTCCTTGCCTGGCTGATTCACCTGTGAATATTTTCCTTGGAGGATTAGGGAAGGAGAGTTTCAGAGTGGAGTTTATTCGTGGCCGGACTCTGGGATGGGTTAGGGGGAGACTGATAGTGGATTGTAGAGAGAACAATAAAATTTTATGTCTAAACAGCCCTTACCTTACAGTTTACAAAGAGTTTTGTATCCACCCCCTCCTTCCACAGCATTCCCTCTGTGGTCAGATGTGGAAACGGCCACGGGCTGGGGCACAGAAGCGAGAAGGTGACTCCTAAGGCCAGATGAACAAACTAGAGACTACAAGATGGAGGTGGTGGGCACCAGCTTCCGTTCTGAAGGGCAAGGGGACTCCCCGTGAATGCCTCTTGATTCACTGACCCTTGGTCTGGGGACATGTGCATGTTTGGAGTGCTGAGAGGCAGCAGTATCCCATATCTTTCTAGAATCGCCTCTCCCTCCTCACCTCTCATCGCAGAAAACCCTGAGAAACAGTTTCCCCCAGGGACGGGAAGCTCTACTTGGCAGTCTGTGGAAAGGGCACAGGGGTTCCCCGTCCCATTAGTATTGTAAGGAGATTAAGAGCTCAGGTTTTGAAGCCGGGGGTCTCTTTGGTATCCCCTCCACCACCACCAAAGATGTAACATCTTCGAGCCTCAGTTTCCACTTCTCTAAATTGGGGACAATGACTTATATTGTCATGATGAGGAGAAAATGAGGTCTAAAGAGTTGAGTAGAGTGAGTGCTTAGTAATTGAAATTTTGGATAATCAATGTCATTGCCAAAAACTGCCATCACTTTGGAAGTTAAAAGAGGCATTTAGCCAATCTTGGATTGTTTCTTGTGGGTTCCCCACCCCTCTGCCCCCCTCCTCTTCTTTTTATCTCACCTTGTCTGAGGGTGTCTCACTAGGCTGGCAGGTCAGAGACTTAGCTGTATTTTACAATCAGGAGGTTGTGTTGGCACAAGTTTGGAGAAAAGCGAGCAGCCTGGGGCTGGATATAAATGTCGGGCTCTGATTCCAGAATGCACAAGGTTTTGAGTTTGGGTATTTGCAGACGGCCATAAAGCACCATGCTGCCGGGGACTCTGCAAATGCTTTCCGTCTAGAGGGAGAGTGGGACGGGGACACCCCCCCCCCCCCACCCCTTGAAGAATGAATGCCTCTTTTTCATGTTTTGGTGGACCTTTTTTCCCTTTTTTATGGAGCTTTCCCATATGCGCTTTAGAAATAAAAACCTGCTGCCCACCCCAGCCAGCTTCCTGCCCAGTCCTGTGATATGGCAAGGCCAACTCAGGACTGGGGAAAGGTTTGTTCAGTGCTAAAGAAACATGTGGAAAGTTTGCTGGCATCCTGTGCATCAAGCCCTTTGTGGTAGAAGTGAATGAGTGCACTTTGACTCTGTGCGTTTCAGGGAGGTGACAACATTTGGGGGGGTGGCGGTGCACAAGAAGAATATTCTCTGGTTTGCTGGAACAGTGTGAATTGGATAAGGATTGAAAGGGGTGTTACCAGGTTGTACTGCCTAAAGTTTTTTTTTCTATGCTTTGTTTGAAAAATCTATCTTCCCTATCTTATCTTCCACTAACTGCTCCGTCCCCAGCCCAAAGGTTGCTTACCTTCCAGCCCTCGGCTTTGTGGTCCATAGAAAGAGGATGACCATCTTTGTCTCACAGGGCTCTTGTGATATTCGAATGAGATCATATATGGCAAACTCTTGGCATAGTACCTAGCACATAGTAACGACTCACTAAATAGAGGCTTTTCTTGGTATTCCTGTTTATCAATTTACAAGGACTTGGCCAAGATGAATGTTCTAAGACCATGGTTCTCAAACTTATTTTTAGCAGTGGAAATATTCATTAACTGAAATTGAAGGCAAAACCCCAATAAACAACAGGTAAATTTGGAGCTGTGTTGAGTGAAGAGGGGATGGACGGTCCAAAACTCACCCCATTGCTCTCAGCCTCTGGGACATTTCCACAGAATCCTGAATGACACCAAACACAGTGAAGAATCACGAAGCCGGGTGTTGTGTTTTCCAGGCTGCAATTTTGCACTTCAACAAGGATTTTTGACCCTCTGAGTCTCCATCTGTAGTAGGAGTTAGAGCAGCTCCTCAAGTAGTGCAGTAGACAGGAATATATGTGGGAAGCTTAAAATGCTCAACAAAGGATGATTAATTAATTTTAATGATAACAATAACCAAAACATACGGAGAGCCTACTCTCTAATCTATAGGCCCTTTGTGTACATCATCAAACTAAATAGCCACAACATGTCTCTAAGAGTGGTACCTATTGGACAAAGAGATGGCTCAAAGAGCGGAGAGAATGAGTAACTGTTCCAGAGTTCGAGAATTCGGATGAAACCTGTTGTCAGACACGGGTCCCCATGATCCCCAAGTAAGAGGCACATTCTGCCACGTTTCTTCTGAATGCTGCTGCTTCTTGCACTGCCTTTAGAAAGAAAACACTTCTTTCTGGGCTAAATCTGCCCTTCCAGCCAGACTGTGGCCACCCATAAATACAGCGGTAGCCTGATCATATAACCAGAATGGAATTTGGAAAGGGAATTCAAGCTGACAGAATGAAAAACATATCCCCCTTAATCCTACCCTTTCTAATGCTCACAATGAACTAAGAACACCTATTTTCTCCTCCCCCTGGATTTCTATAGACATCCAGCCATATTTTCTCATAGGAAAACACATCCAGCTGACCTAAGCACAAGTCCCTCCATACTGAAGCTAGATGTGTTTTCCTATGAGAGTAGCTGGAAGAGTAGAAAGCAGGTAACAAACATTTACTTGACTCTAGATATATAGTCCCTTTGTGATGAGAAAACACTCAAAGTCGTTAATGTTGAGGCTAACTACATATCACATATATGATAGGAGGGTTTGCCTGTGGTTTCTCATCTAATTCTGACTCTACCACTGCAAGTTATGAATGACTAGCTTCATTTTATGGACAGCGAAATCAAAGCCCAAAGAAGTTGGGTGACTCATCTGAGGGCTTTCCACAAGCGAGGAGCAGAGTTGGATTTGAACCCAAACTTTCTGACTAAACCCTATTATTCTTTCCACTCTGCTTCATTGCCTCCTGAAGTCAGGCTGGGCTGACCTCATAGAGAACTTTGAACGGTGACTTTCAGTGATTAGCTGAGGTGGTAGAGAAGTCCCCGACTGGCATTCGTGTCTATCAATTTTACAGAAAAGCCCTGTGTATATCGTTTCTCATGATGCTCAGAAAAGGTCAGCTCATGGTGGTGCAATTCTCTGCCTGGAAACAGAAAAGTTCAAATTTCAGCCCCAGAGAGAGACGAATGACACTAGAGGTAACAGTCGGGTCATTACTGCTGATTTCCATCCCAGAAAAGTAGGCACACACTTCACTGTGCTCTCCAGGTGGGAGCTCTGATTGGGAAGGCAGGGCTGGACCTGGACCTGCACCCTCTCTGAGAACCAGGTGAACTGAGCACCTGATTTTAAAAGGTCTGATGGGGAGACAAAGCCAAATTGGTGTGCCCAGCCTCAGAGCAGTGAATCCCATGACAATGAGGAAATGCTTGTAGGCTCTGAGTCACAAATTCCCCGGAAGCCTTAGAGATGAGAGTTTATAACTCAATCACCTCTCACTTTGAAAAGATCACAGGGAATCCCCTTGAATCTAATCCCAGGCCAGTTTGAACACCTTCAACATGTGGGAAACATTAGATGAAGGCTTCCTTTCAAGGAGGGAAACCCTCTTAACCTCCTACAAACTCCAGGCAATAATTCCACCCAAGACCAAAGACAGTGGTGGCCTTACGTACCAGAAAGGGGCCATACACACCTGTGCAGTCTTGGCAGAGGAGAAAACTCTACATGCCTACCTGATTCTAACCCCAGTGACCAGACTGTTTTTTCAGTTATGTCCTTATGCTTAGAAATCCTTTTTCTCTTTCCTTCCTCCTTGTCTCATATTTCTGGCCTCTATTTAAGTTTAGCAACAATCTAGTTCAATACTATCATTGCTCCCTTGGACTCTCCATCATGGAGTAAAAGCAAAATGCCTACGCTGAAAGCAGATTGTGAATGGAAAATTCCTTCCTTGTGTATTTTTAGTCTATTCGCAAGTGGAAATGAAGAAAAAAATTTCATGCCAAGTATTATTCCCATTTTTCAGATAACAGAAGAAGTTAGAGACAGCAGGCTACTTGCTAGAGGAATATTTACATTTTTAAAGGGTAGAGAGGGCAATGCTTAATACAGAGAATTGTCAATGGTGGACTTTAGACAAGGGAATAATTTGGTGGAAATAGGAGGGCTCAAATTTAATGACCCAAGGATGTCTTAAGGGGTAAAACCATTCTTGGTAGGTAGACAAATAAGATGGCAGAGACTGAATATTGAGTGCAAGTCAGTGTATTTTTATTCACGACTCTAGCCTACAGCTGCATCATAAGGTAGCTCTGGCTAATAGCATTGCACTGGGAAACTTTTCTAGGCATGCAGTGCGACATGAACACATGTCACCTCACTGCAAAAGCAACACGTCACAGCCAGAACAAGAGAGCCCACAGCAACACCAGACTCTCTGCCAGCCAGAGACCCTTAGGAACATTACAGCCAGGGAGGCACCAAGTAACAAAATAAAAACAACAATATTGATGATGATAATAATAATAACAAAGCGTGTGAGTACATCCAGACAAGGAAGC